CACAGGGGTGCGTGCAGTTTACAACTTCCGTAACGCAAAACTCAACATACCCTAATAACGTACAGAGAGCACACATGACAAACAGCTCACACAGGGATTATTAATGCTTGAACACTGACATTAGGTGACAACAGGTTAGATTTCTCTACTATTAACTTATAATTTTTTAAATGTTCAGAATGATTTGAGAAGGATCAATCAACAAAGACAGCTACATTCTTAACCTTCTAATGACAATTATTTAAATCAAGTCCAAGATACAAGTAAAAGAAGTTTGGAAAGAGTTCATTCTGTAGTCATACATCTAATTCTTACCTGGTAGATCTTAACTTTTGCAAGAACCTACCAACTAACAGGTTAAGATCGTCTTAACAATTAAGAACTTAGTAAAAAGCAAAACCCAATTAAAAAGCGCTTCACTTAACTTTTTCCAGTAGTTGCCAATGGTTCATAGGAACTGTATTACCAAATCTACACACTACACATGTCCCTATTAACATATCACCAATATTCATATGTGCTTCCCAAGTACATGACCTTCACCCCTACCCAACATGAATGTTATTAGACTAAAACTAAAGCGCATACAGAGTATTCTTTTTCAGTTAAGGCAGATCATTGTATGCTCTGCTGCTAATACTTCACAAAGGGCCAAAGAAAGTATGTTTTATCTAAACCTCAATATTTCCTTCTAATTGCAAACTCAACAAAAGTGCCATTAGCACTATTCCACAGGACAGTTAGGGTTTGTTACTAAACTGGTTGAGATCAAAACCTTTTCATGTCAACCACTTTAGATATTTCCTATTTAAGGAAGAAAGGGTCACAAAGAGGTTTTTAATGACCTGATGGGCCTTTTCAAAGGCTATTAGAACATGACTGCTCATATTCTGTATCTTAGGTAAACAGAATAATGGACCTGCTATTTGAAATACAACTGATGGCAGGCCTCTCTAAAGAATAAAACAAATGAGTTATTTCTAAATTGAAGAATATTTAACAACTCTTCAGATCCCTGGAGGATAAAGCACTATTTGCTTAGAATAAGGAAGGAAAAAAATCAAACCTTTGTTTTTTTCTATACAGGTTTATAAATATTTTATTAACAACATATCTATCTGTGCTATACATATTTACTGAAATTATGATTACTGTTTCTGTCTATTTATTTTTACAATAAAAAATATGTATTACTAAGAAAGAATGTTTTCACACTCCTTTTAGCTTAATTATCCAAAAGTACCCCGTTCTTCTTCTCTTAAAGCTTAAGGTTACCAAGTTAACACTCAAGTGCAATTTTACTATAAAAGAAAATGTCTGTAAGAAGAAAGGCACACTGCCAATACGGAGATCGCTCTGATAACCCATTCCTATCTGTAGCACACAGAGAACAGCCTCTCCTGGTGTCAATTCAGTACCATGGAAAAGCTCCTTTAAGCACTTAAAAGAAAATTCTGAAACTGGGGGAAGAATGTATTTAAAAGTTTTTACATAAATTCTATTAGGAAAATACTTACTGAATAAAACATAATAAACACTCTGAAAAGATCCTAGTCTAATGGAGGCCAACACAGCTATAAAAATAACTGCAATAAAAGGGTAAATAGTACGTGCCCCAAGAGATGAAAATATAACAAAAGACTCAACAACTACATTAAATCATATTTGGGGGGTTATTTTAGAATGTAAATTGAGATGTACTCAATGTTTATAAAATAAAGAAGTTAAGTTTATAGCATTTTTTAGACCTTTCCACTGTTTATTTTGTTTAAATGCTGGCTTCGGTTCATAACCAAATTAGAAGTAGAAAAAAAACACAGAATTTGAGCAAATTTTAAGTGATAATATTCCAAAGAGACAGAGCTCTTCAAACTAATTTGTATATCACATGCTGTATGCTCAGATTTGTTCATAATGGTAATACAAAGGGCATGTAATATGTACACTAATGTATGTCAACAAGGAGACAGCTGTATGATTAAGAGGTATAGAAATAAGTGGACATTATAGGAAGATTTGTTCTGAGATTAGGTCTGAGAGCATTAAATGAAAAGTAAATATTACTGGCCATAGCCCCGAGGCAACAGGAGGACAAGTATTAATTTATCAGTCATTTGCTTTATGGGGATGATCTGAAGATGTAAGTCAGCGGGAAAAACAACTGCATGCGGCACTGAAGATCACCAAGACCTTAGTGACATGCATTTGTGACAAAGACCAGGTAAAACAATGGTGAGGGGACACCTAACTGAGGGATCAAATTATAGATCCACATGAGGATACTGGAAAGGTCCTGACTTCTTGTAATGGCAAGTGAACAGTGGAACAAACGTATGCTACAGAAAATATCACACATGTAGAAAAATATTACAAAATCTATCTCACAAGCAAAAAGTTTCGGAAATAACTACTTGAAAAAGGTTCCTCCTTAGCGTCACATATAAAATAGACAGACTTACTAATTACACATTAGAATCACTATACCACACTTTACATGTACAGGTAATGCCCACAATTTCCTTAGTTCCAAATTACAAAACTAGAGATTACAAATATGATGTATTGCCTTTCACCTTAAATAAAAATAAAATATTTGTATTATTGACACCTGAAAGGGGAAAGAAAACACAGCATAAATCTACAAAAGATCCAACAGCAAATTCAGATGTGATAACAAATATAGTTTCACAGTACCTACAGTATCAAATCAGCCAATTTAGAGACCTGAAATATTTAATAAAAGTAACACTAAAAATACTTGATATTACAGCCATACAGAATACCAATATCAGCCATACAGAATACCAATATATCTTTCCCCAAAACTACTGTACAATTATCTTAATTGTGCACAACATACATAAAGAAAAATATATTTGTATACTTCATATAGAAACTTTCTACACAAATAAAGCCAATTGAGAGAAAAGTACTGCACTAACATCCATTCTAACAAGCCAATTTTCATGGTACAGGGGCGGGGGAGGAGTCCCCCCCTCCCCCAGGGGAAGGTACACCAGCTGATCTAGGGTTTGTCCCTCGCTCAGTGACTATTGCTTCTACATACTCACCATAAAACCTGGAAACTTTGCTCTCTAAAAAAAACATTACTGAAATGTTATTGAGTCAATCAGCATCTTAATTTATCTGTGAGTTACAAAAACAGAAAGAAAATACCAATAGGGCATTTTTTTTAAGAGTTTCATAAGAAAATTTATATTATGAGCAAACAAATCCTCTTGGAAAGTAGGCAAGGTAAAGATTAAGGAAGAAAGTAAGCCATTTTGTGACATGTATACAAATAGAACAATTCAGAAAATTTAAACTATTGATGAATATATTGACACTTCTTAAAATAGATCAACTTAAAAAGCGCCATCCCAGAGCAGAACTCTTTGGTCAGTTTTCTGGAACAACCACACTTCACTTCCTCCCTAATTAGGCTACAGGGTTAGCTGAATGTTCACTTCCCATTCCAATGCAGAGCCATGAAAAGAAGCATAGCCTAGTGAGTGACACCAAAGTTCCAATGGCTAGAAGAAAGCAGTACACTGCAAACTATGCGGTAGCTACCCAGAAAATCTGTATCATATACAACAAAATGTCCAACCTGTATGACAGTATCATCACCAGCCAATGACAAACAAAGTTGGCCTTCTCTTAAAACACGAAATATCTGGTAGAAGAAAAGTGGAATTCATTGTCCACCTGATTCCCAGGAATGAATTTAAATTCCTAAAACCATGAGCCAATTTCCAAATATTCAGCAAATGTTCCACTTATCAATAGTGTTTACATATACTCACTCACACACTCACTCACTCACTCACTCACTCACTCACTCACCAAAGCTGTGAATTATCTGCTAAAGAAAAAAGCTTACAACATAAAACACAGAATCCATCACCTTTTTCATTCCTTTAAAAACCACGTAACTACACAATAAATACTTCATTATGACTGAAAACATACAATAAATTTCACCCACCTTCCACCATAGAAATAAAAGCTGTAAAAATTAGAGTTCCAAAAACATGTGCATCAAATTCACAAAAAGATACTGGGCCTCCTGTAGCCATCACTTACCTTCTTCTCTAAGGCTACATATAAGTTGGAAAAGGGCATGGCATGCATGCACAATGTCATGTGTAACATTCATTACAAATGCTTGTTTGCAAATGTTTAGGAGTAATATAATAAATCTTACTTAATGTGAACATATTTAATATCGTGGTTAGCCTAAACTCCCATCTTAAATAAAATTTCTTAATAGAGATTAAGCAATAACAATTCTTCAAATAAAAATATTTTAACAAGAAAATATAAAATTGTGCACAGATGTATTCTTTCAGTTTATAAGGAAAACCTCATTTAAATTAGTTGCCTATTAAAAAGGCAAATTAAGCACAGATGAACTATTTATGGGCATCAACATGATACCCTATAATACAGCCACTACTCTATTCAATATGTATCTCAACCACCATACAGTATTCACTGGTGGAAATACTTATAAGCTGCTTTTTCCAATTTTAAACTAAAATACTTTCTTTTGGGTGAAAAAGGATTGGATGATTTCTCGTTACATCAAGACCCAGAAAAAATTCAAACTACCACCAGATGGTTTCTCTCATTTACATCCATTGCTGAGTGGGAATTCCTCTATGTTTGACTCATATAGACACCTTCGGTTTGTATCACTACCAGAAAGCACCAGGCTAAACAGAGTGCAACTGTGCTACAGAAACACCTTTCTGCAACAAAACCCATCAGCCAAATAAAATCTTCCAACTGCACTCAGAGGCACACCTACAAATGAACTGAATTTATCCAAGACTACATAGTTCCTAAGAATGCAGCCCTAAAAAAAAATAAATCACAAATATATCTGCGATCTAAAAACTTCTCTCCTAAAGCCTTAATATAACGTAGAACAAAACAATAGCTCTTTTTTAGTCTTTAACTCATTACATTTCCAAATCAGCACATTAATGTCTTACTGGTAAACTTGATGGTCTTTCTTGTTGTATCAAGTTCAAGTCTTCATGGTTAGGTTTTCCAGGAGCCAGAGGAGGTTGAGACCTAGTTCCATAGCCTTCCTGAGAAAGGTCCTAAACAAATACAAACACAAAGCACTTCATAAATACCTCAATGAGTTATAAGCTTCTTCAGTAACCAAAACGAAGTGAAGGCTTATCACAAACTATCGACTCATGTGACATTTAAGCAGACATATAAAATATATTATAGCTATCGTTTTAAAAATACTTTACCAAAAGCAAAAACAAAGACAAAAAAGTAGTGAAACATCAAGAGCAAAAACATACATATAATTAGTAACTAAACTTATTATGGGACCATACAAACCAAAGACTGTATTTGAGTTTAGCAGGAAAAGATGAAGAAGGAGGTAAGCTATAACCAAACCCCTTGTACATTCCCCCCCCCCCCAAAATGTCTTTTAAACCAAAGCAAACCAAAAGCTTGTTTTATTGTTTAATTCTGATTTGGACTGAACTGCCTTTAATATTAAGTTGAAAATGTTAAAATAATTAATGAAAACTTTATTATCAACTGACTTTTAATATGCCCTCTCAGTAACCCACAAAACAACATAATTATTAAGTTCACAGTATCCTGGGGTTTCTACAAAACCAATAAACACTACGTATAGAATTCCATATGTTCACGTGGCATAGTTTCCAGAGAACCACAATAAAGAATAAAACAGCAGTGGGGAACAAAACACACCCCAAAAACCTGCTGAGGTACCAGAAACTTATCATTAACATGGCCTTTCTGGCATCCTGTCGAACACTTTTCCAGGATGTATTCTGCGTGGTTTCAGTATTGTGCTGAAATAGTGTTATACAAACCAAATACCACACTACAGCAACTTACTATATACCAGGTCTCTAGCTGTTTAACTATGTACGCTTAGCTCCTAACCGACCTAGCGCCATTTACACCCGAAGTCACACAGCAGGACAGAATGTGAAATACTTATTACAGCATGTCTTAATTGGCACTCAAAGTTGAAGAACAGGTTTCTGATTGGAGAGGGAAAAAGAATGGAAAATATCACTTAAAAATAAAATTCTCTCCCTTTCACTGTCACTTTAAAGAAGTGTTAGAATTAAAGAAACATGATATACAAGTTCTACTCCTGCTAAATCCTCAATATTACTTTGAGAATCAATGTTTACTTTAAAAAATAACATTTATTAGTTGAAACCATATAAAAAGCTTCTGCTGTCCCACCCCTTTCTCACACAGTATACACTTAAAATTGCACGGCTTCTTAGGCCAAGAAACTGGACCACTAGCTAGTACTACAAAGTAACCAGCTGTACAGGCTGGATCTAACCGGCCCAGCGCTGGAGCAACCTGCCTTTGACAGACAGGCGCTAGCTAAGTCAAGAGCTCAGCAACAAGCCTATATTCCCAGGCAACTCTTCCCATTAAATAAATCCACACACACACACACACACATCATTTAGTCAAGATACACAACCTCTGCAGTACTGTATAACGCCCAGTCAGTAGTATACTTTTGTTAGAGATTTAAATCCCAGTTGTCCAGGTTTTTATCTTAAAAGAGGTGAGGTCTCAGTGAGCACATTCAGTGCTTCAAAGGGCAGCTCTTCAATCTGGTTGCCAGTGGAGGGTAACCATTAGGCTGTGGGGGACAAAAGCCAGGGCTGGAAGATTACTACCACTCTCCGCCCCCTCCCCCACACCAACTTTCTTCCGGATCCCAGACTTCCACTTGTCACACGGGCTTCCCGCTGGGTGCCCTGCAGGGTCTTTTAGATTAACAGCAAGGATTTCAAATCAAGTAGGGCACAAGGCCTCCATTCAGGGGCCTTCACCCGGTTACAAACCCCCCCACAAAGGTGCAGGGCAGCCTCACAATAGGCAAACAAATGAGCAGAGCCGCCCGCTCCTCAAACACGGGCTTGTGCGCGAGCACAGCTTATGGGCAGGCGGTGCTCAGGTGCTGTTTTTAGTAAACTTCAGTTAAGAAACAGGAACAGGCTCACATGCCCTGTGTTTATTATTAGCCTCTTACATTTCCTTTTATTTTCTCTTTGTAGCTAAAGGAACTGATTTTTAAGAGCTGAAAAAGCCCATCACAACTGTAGTGAATACACATGTCAATTTGGGTGCCGTCCCCTCTAACATAAGTGACACTGGACTAATGGACTACGCAGGTCCTCAGAAAATTTCACACTATGACTTTACATTTCACTTTTTAAGGCTTTAAAGGTTCAAAATAAGTAGATTCCACCAACGTCTCAAACACTATACTATTCCTAACCACAAGAGGCTTTCAATTATTAAATACAGTTGAAAACAAAACCAAAATAAAATTTAGAGAGAATCGTTGAAAATGGGACTTGTTCTTCCTCAATTTATGTGTGAACATGAGGATTAATTTAACTGAGAGAACATCCAGAAAAAGTACCAAGTTTTAACCCAAAACAATCATCATCTCTATATTACTTACACTGGGACTATAAAGTCTTCGCTTGGCAGCTTTAATAAAGATATAAAAGTTATCTCTCATAACAAACCTGAGCTCTTCCCCTTCAGAGCTATATTAACTTTCTAGTATGTACTTATATTCACCTCAAGAAGAGTAAAGCAGGAATAAGAAATTTAATTGACAATACGAGGGCAACGTCAGCATCAGAAATATGGTCAATATGACCTTTTATAAACAAACAGCTAAGCGCAGCTTTACATTTCTAAAACATCCCGGCCATCTTTGGTTATTTACAAGTTTTAAGTAGTGAAGACGAGCTTGTACACCGGTTCACACACACACACTATTACTGCATTCATCTGCCATGCTCGCACATACACAAAGCCACGCCTGTTTCAAAGAATGTCATATTGTGATAACAAGGGAACCCCTGCTTTTCCAAAGTTCACTTTATGACACTTCACTTTTCAAAAGACCAACATTTGTACCTGTTTTTGATAACCAAAACAAATCTGAAGAGGATTTTCACTTTCACACACACACAAAACAAAACAAAAAAAGTGAAAATAACGTTCAGTGTTTGTTTTGCAGCGAGGCACTAGAGGCTGCACACACCCCACCCCAGCAAGGAGAGTGGCCCCACCAAGCTCCTGGGCCGGAGCCACACTCAGCATCTCAGCATCATCCCCCAGAGCTTGAACGGTGTCTGTGAGCATCTGTGCTTCATCTTCAGCAAGATGTGTCCTAAGGTGATGACTTCTTTGCTTTACACTATTTCAGCTCAGGAGAGGTTCTCGAGGAAAACTCTGCTTTCGGAGAGAGGAGCACGCCGGTACTGCAATGCCGGGGAACCACACAGGGGAATGTGTTTACCCCTTCAAGGTTTTCTATCAGTATTAATTTTCTTCATCTCACCCACAAACTTGTAACCATGGATGGATTCTGGTTTTAACCTTCTTTACATTATGAGTCAAAGGTAAAAAGGGAGCCTCCCACACAAACACCAAAAGTGTGAAAGAAGCTTGGGGTAGAGGTGTGTACAAGTTTGTTTCAGAAGTTTGCACTTGGGTGTTTCTTTTCACAAATGTCCTGGACATTTACTGACTGCCACGTAAGGTCCACTCCCTTTGCTGGGTACTTAACATCTGACAGGGTGAAGTATGGCCGCAAAGGAAACCCTGGTGTCCTACTTACATGGCAAGGAAGCGCACTAAGATCAGAGCTGCCGCACAGCTGTAAAGGCCAAGGCAAGAATGCTTCTGTTTTCTCTCATAATAAAATGTATTCAGTACTAATGGCAACACGAGACTTTGGAGAAAATATAGAATAAAATGTCAAGGACACTTTTTAAAAATTAAAAAGGGAAAATATTTCCATGGCACGAATTTGAAAGATACAGTGAGCTAAACAATGAAAAGGAAGATTGCCGTGTCTGTCCCAGGGTCCCCTCCTCAAAGGTCACTGCTAACAACTGTTCGATGCATCGAAGTAGAGATACGAATTTAAATCCTCTTTCCTTTAAACACAACTGGGACATATTTTCTGTACATGGCATATTTCTAGTCCCTTAACAATATATTGCAGCACTCATTCTATATCTGCACCAAATATCTGCTTTATTCTTTTTTTTGTGCTACAGGTATTGCATTATTTGTCAGTGCTGTGACTGATTTAGCCAGTCCCCTAGTGATGGACACTTAGGTTGTCCCCAGCCTTCCCCTACTTCATATCGCACTGTTAACAGACATCCTTGTGTGTACATCTTCATGTGAAATATTTCTGTAGCATAAAATCTCCACAAGTGGAATTTCTGCCAAAGGGTTGGTACATTTAAAATTTTGATAGAAACTGGCACAGTGCTCTTAGAGGAAGTGTCAATTTACACTCACAGTAAATCATTTTGGAACAGAACAAAGTGTTACTAAAGGTGTTTACCTTAGCATTACAATACGCCTAACCACATTATAAAAAGCGGCAAGGCCAAAGCAGGGAAGAGGTGGCAGGATTGATAGATAGTAGCCAAAAATCAGAAACAAAAACACGAAAACCCAAGAATTTAGACAGGTGGCAGCGGCACTAAGAGGGCAGGGACTAAGCCCCGGAGCCACCGTCTTCACCGTCAGTCCTGCAGAGCTTCAGATCTGAAACAAAAAGCTCCAGGCAGCCCCGGGCGTCTGGATCGGGAATACGTGGTGATTCTCGTTATTTAAGAAAGGTTTTTCCAGTAATTACACGGAGCACAGAAGTGCCAGGAAGAGGAAGATGCCACTTGCTGCTGCCGCAACAATCCAGCCTGAGGTGCTGAGGACCTGAGCAGCCTTAGGACAACACCCCGCAATACTAAGGTCAGGATCATTTCTTGCTCCTTTTTGCTCCCTGCTTTGGAAACGACTATCATCAATTCCAACCACTAACAGGGAGCAGAAACGGTACTGCCGAGCAAGGCGTGTGGCAGAGGAGGAGGATGGATCTCGTCACAGAGGACACACCTGATGGTGGCACAGGGTTGCCACGGTCACAGGAAATCAGCACTCACTCAAGAAACTTGGCATGCTATTATCCGCTCCATTTTCGCGTGTAGTTAAATAAGTTTAAAATATCCTTTCCAAAGGAAAGCAATAC